TGCGGCTGCTGTCCTACTCTCTGCCCTTTGCAGACACAGACATCAGAAACGTGTGTTTCCCCAGCTGCAGACTCAAAGGGCAATGTTGTACCCAAAAGGAAGTAAAATGGAAGCAGTACAGGGTGAGATCAGGGGCAGTAAAGTGACCCCTTGCACATCTGTATAGGGTTCATCTCTCCCCCTTTCCAACCTGTCCCCACAAATTGTCAGGGAGTGTGCACTGTGGCACAATCAGTTTTCACTTCTGTCTGTCCCTGGAGGCTGCATCTCTGAGGTGGCAACCAGTGCTCTGAACCCATGTTGGTATCTAGATTGATCACAGAATCACAGAATGGTTTGGGTTGGAAGGGACCTTAAAGCTCATCTCGTTCCAACCCCTTGCCATGGGCAGGGACACCTTCCACTAGACCAGGTTGCTCCAAGGCTCATCCAGTTTAGCCAAGGAAGGAGTTTATGCTGTTTTTCCAGGAGCACTCACACATGTGTCCACCTCTCTAGCATTCCTAGCTGCAGAGCTTTATGTAAGGGTAGGCAGATCTCAAGCGTGCTGTGACACAACGCCGAGTTACTCTGCCTGTGCACGTTCTTTGTAATTTGCTTTCTGTAATCGTGCAAGCATTAGCCTTAGTGCCTTGTCCATAGCCTATTTTGGATGATATATTTTTGCATTCTCACTGGGATCAGTGTTCATCATTCCTGCTCTTGAACTGTGAGACAGTTTCGTAGGAAGTTATTCAACAGTTGCTGAATTTTATGAGGGATGGTTACAGATTAATTTCAGTTGAAAAGGAGGAAGAGCCTAATGTACTTCTCACTTTGTCTATCTGGCTGCCTATGGAGTTGTGTTATATGTTTCTGACAAAAAATCATGGGCTTTATGCCACCAGCATACAGTCAGTTCATATTAGAATTGTGTCCCCAGTCTAATTTACATGACATTGCAATATATTATGGAGATAATGACTGACTCTGTAGTTAGGATGCCAAATACTTTGTAATGATAGAAATAATTATCTTCTTTTTTTTTTTTTTAATAATTTCTTTTCCCCGACCAGTGGTTTCAGCTGCAGGATGTTGATATTTGCCAGAGAAAATGGCCTGAAGTTATAAATGTGACTTTTCTATATAGAGAGCATCCTTCATTCTCATGAAATGCTTCCAGTTTTCGCTGAGCTGTATCTTGTCAAAAATGATCATTTCCTTTTTTTTTTTTTTTTTTTAGGAAAATCATTTATCCCTTATTAAAATGATACTGTAACTATGGTGTGTGTGGCAAAATCAAGTTCAAAAGTGAGGTAGCACCAGGTTTGTATACTCCAGACAACTTGAGCTTGCAATGCAATGATTTAACATTTAATTCCTGGTGTGCTGAGTGATGAGCCACCTGGATCAGACCTGGCAGTTGTGTTTTGAATCCACCAGCATCGATTTCCTTCTTTTAAGGGTATCATGAGTCAAGGGCTTCTCTGGCTGCTTTTCCTGCATGGGGACAGGACCAGAGAAAATGTCATCTGAGAGAGAAGAAAGGCAGCTTTAGTTTTCTGATTATTTCTGTTTTCTTTGTCAATTGCAGGCCAGAACTGTCATCCCACAAACTTTGCATGGATTACTGCCTCTGCTTTGCATATGTAAAGGACAGTGATGCAGATGGTGTGATAGAAGAGGTAAGAGCTGTGAGAGAAGATGGCTTTAGGTTCCCAGAAGTTGTCTGTTAGCCCTCACCTGCAAGAACATTAGTTTTATGTTTTAGAGTGAAGTCACTGGTCTTATTGGAATGAGACAAATGGACAGAAAGAGGCAGAAGCTAAGTACTTTATATTCAGTTTTATCCACTAGCTGAATGTATGAACAAGACAGATATTTAAAAATAATTAAAACCCCCACATTATACTGGACATTTACCTTTCATGGAACTCTTAAAATATAGGTGTTTGTCTTCAATAGCTTCAAAGCTGTATTGAGTACTGGAGATGAGGTAAAAGCGGTTTCTATTTATGGAGTTTTGAGGTCTCCATTCTGTCCATTATCTCCTCTTCCAATAATGTTCTAATTCTTGTTTATATCATTTTTTGTTGTCATGGAAATGTCTGAAAGCTTTGAATATAGAATGATTA